TGGCAGACCAATTACCATTCAGTATTTTCTGATGAGCTAAAGCTTTTTGGCATTCCTGGCAATTTATCAGCAAATAGAAGCACTCCCAGTTTTGTCTTTTAGATTATTTTTAGGTAATGTTTGCTTCCCTTTGTCATGATGTGAGGTGTGGAAGCCATATTGTATTTTATATTTGGCCCAATGCTGAATGATTACCAGAAATGCATAATTTTCATTTTGACATTCACAGTTGTTAACTTGATTGCATTACAATAACATACATTTAAGTAATATCCTGCTTTTCTTGTCCCGTTTCACAATATGGGCAGCAGGAAGCAGGATGATATGTCTCATAGAAGTTTGTTGTATTCCAAACAGAAATCATAGTTTTACAGTCTGCTTCTCCCCTCCTTGTATGACCTATCTGCAGAATATGACATGTATTGATTAGCTATCTGGAAAGCAAGAGTTAAATTTGTGGTGTGCTGTTCTGTACCAGTTTTAATTGGAATATATCTCTGGTGTATAAATGTCATACTTTCCAGACTGGATATTAGTAATGAAAGCTCTTCATATACTCTAGTCACTAAAGTTTTGGCGTCCATAACTATCAAATCACTTTTTCTTTACCACTGAATATGTCTTTGTCACTGTAACTTGTAGATGAATAGAGATGAAAGCTATCTTACAATACTATTATTTTAATAATGTAGAGTAATAGAAAAGAAAGAAAATAGTGATAATATCATTTTAAGCTAAGACTTAGTCAGTGACATAAAACTCTCAGTGAAGTTTTAAACTGTATTCTAGGAGATGGGTAATACCCAATATTGTCTAATTTCCTGTACAAAGAAGGATATCAAACTTTGATTGGGCTTTCGAAAATGCATAGTGTGCACTACATTATTCCTCTGAATGGGCTCAGGATTCACATTAAGTATAGTTTAGGTAGGTAGTGATCTTTTAATTGGATTTGGATAAAAATCTATTTATATACTATGTCTATTTGTTTTTTTTTTAATTCTTTTATGTTTACATCAATTATACCCATCTATTTGGATAATGAAAATGTAGAAAATCTAGTCTTTTTATATGGCAGTGATATAAGCACACTCCCTTCAGCAAATCAACTGTTTGCCACGTCTTTATTCATTCAGCTCACTTGCAGTTGTGCAACATCCTGCATAAGTGCATGACAGGACAAAGGCCAAGCTGGTTACCAATGAGTCCAGAGATATGTTGTGTGTGAATAGTCTATACTCTGTAGCTGTTCATGTATCCTGTGATTTCCCTTCCTTGTAATACTTATTAAAGTTGGGGGTTGATATAATGTAAGCAAAGTCAGTGTGTGAAAATGTGATCCATAGGAATGTGTAGCTGGTACTGATACCCATATAGTACTTGAGTGTAATTCTGATTATTAGTTGTATTGGATATCTATATTGCCTAAAGGACTATTTAAATTCACTTTGAAGTGTGTGACTGTTGAAGTACTTTAATGGGAATAATACAATTAACTTTTGCAATATCACTGAATATAACATAGTAGTATCCTTTTTGTTGCTTTTTAAAACGACTTTAAATTTGCATTGTGCCTAAATCATAGTCGCTGCTTGATACTCATACTTGCGAAAAATAACCTGATACTTAGTAAAATCACAAAAAAGGTTGTACATAGAGAGCTTATTGTAAGATAATTCTAAAGTAGATTCTGAAATCTTAATTTACTTTTATGGCATTAATTTTTAGGAGTATTTTAACTCAGGATTCAGATATTCTTTATTGTAAATGATGAAAAGTGAATGTAAGTATTTTTTTAAAAGACATTCTTTGTTCTAATGGCTTTATCTATTGTAAATATATAAGTATATATGTATATATATATAATTTCAGGTTTGCATATACTTATACAAGGCAAGTAGTCATTGGAATTGATTGATTGATGATGAATTTTAAAACAGTTTCTCCTACCTGTGATATGGTTGTCTGAAATTAGAAACAAGATATATATATATATATATATATATATATATATATATATATATATATATATTTAATGAAATGTTTAAAATAAAATAAAATCATGACTTTTCATCATAATCATGATGGCTGTTTAGTGTACGGACTGTAGATCACTTGATTTACCACCTGATAAGGAACCAAAAAAGCTCCCTTCATAATAGATGTGGTGAAGATTTATTAGGTTTTGTCAGAATGCTCTAGGTGTACAATCCATAACAGTAGCTTTACTGCATCTGTCACAGTTTTTCTTTGTTTTAAAACTCTTATTTTCAATTTGCAAAGGTTGCTTTGTAGAAGAAAAATGTCCTAGAAAGCATCTGCCAATTTTTTTACATGTATGTTTTACCTTGCAGTATATGTATGGCCAAAATGAAATATTATGTATATTATATATATGTGTATATATTACAAATAAGTGGTAGATGTCTGTTGTCAGTGATGTGATCTTTTATTTCATATTATTTATTTGTGACTTAGTTCAAGTGATAGTTTTATTCTTATTTTACTCACCTGTCATCAGATGTATCAGAGAGATCATTTGAAAGATAATCAAACCGAAAAACTGTCTCTGTTTTGACATTTTTAAGAATTAAGTAAACAGCATTGGTTTGTATTTCCTTTTGTGTAGATTCTGAATTTTTTTGCTGATTTGTTGATCAGAGAAAACTCTATTCTTCCTAGGTCTTCTGTGTAGATTTAATCCCATTTTCATAGATCATGATATGGTAATAAATGACTATTCAGTAGCGTAGAATATTGTTTAAAAGATAACTTTCTATGAATGAGTAGGATTATTAACTTGCTTAATATTGCACTGTCATTGTTTTCACCAGTTTCAGCTAACCTGAATTATACATGAGAATTTTGCTTTTCTTTTATGATTTTTTAGAAATCTGTTGCCATAGACATGCATGAGTATTTGTAGCAATGTTAACAGCTGATTGTGAGTACACGGGGCTGTGAACCAGTCAACAGGTACAGTATCTTAGGACGAAACACCACGCAGCCAGCATGACAGAACACTTCTTGGACGTGGAGCACACTGCTGGTCCATCATCCCACAGACTGTTGTAATTAAAAATCTTTATTTGACAGTTGGCTAGCACATATTAACAAGTACACACTGGTTTGCATGCTCCTGTCAATCTTTGGGAACAAGCTTCTCTCTTGACTTTTTTTTTTTAACCTTGTAATTTGATTAACATTTCTCCCTTTTGCTTTCCTGAGGATGTGGAAGAGTGCTAGATAGAGATAATGGGAATCATTTGTTCCCTTGTATACCTTAATTTGAGTTTATACTTTGTCTAAGATTATTGTTCCAAGCCTAGCCTTAATATCATTGATGATAAGTAGGCTGAGGTCAGACAACCTGATACGTTGATTCAGTTGTATGCAGGCATGAAATATGTTCTCACGGATGAGAAATTTTATGTTTCCAAGAGGATTTATACATTCAACAGATTTCCTTGTTTTGAGGTCTCTTTAGATAATAAAAATATGGTCTTCATATTGAAGCACTCATATTTTTACAAATGAGATTAATTAATATCATCACTTGAAGTATCTACCCCAGATACCGAAATTAGAACATAAATTTTCTTAGTTGCAATATTTAAAAATTAATATAGGAAAAAAAGTGATAAGGATAGAAAAGCTACATTTCACATGATCTAAGCAGCAACTTTTACAAAATAGACTTGAATGCACCAAGTTAAAGTAGTAGTAGGTAGCACATGTGTAATACAAATGTTGAATGTTAATAAATGTATATTTTGTATTATTAGTGTACTGCTTTTACGTCTTGCTCAGTTAATTTCATTTTCAAGAGCAACATGGGGAATCCAACATGTAATTTGAACAGTGGAACTTATCCTTCTGATTTTCTTCAATCACAACAGCTCATGCCTTATTTTCATGCATTGTTCCTTTTTCTCATTCTGTACAGGAAAGCTGAGGGAAACTAGGTAGATTGGCTTTTGAAGAAAAATAATTTTGATAAAGCGTTCTTGTTGCATTGGGTTTATGATACATTTAACAAGGACATATAACCTACACAGTATGATAAAGGTAAAGGGAATAAGGAGGAAGTTAAGGTGAATGTCACTGGAGTTTTTCATGTAAGTTATGTTTTGGATTTATTTTATTATTTTGTGTGTGTGTGTTTGCAGGTATGAAGAATTATGAAAACATAGAAATACAGGCAAATGCATGTCAGCTTATAGTTTACATATTGATATTGAAAGGTAAACAAATGTACATATGTATACATTCATCACCTGTGGCCATTTTAAACAAACATTGTTTATTTGTTTATTCCAACAATCAGGATTTCCTTTCATATTTGTTAATGTTGAAACAGACAGAAATGCAATTAGATTTAGTCTAAACTTTGGTTTAAAGCTTATGTACAACTTTGAATATGGGCTGGGGACTGGCTGACTAGTTGATAAAAAATATATGCAACTAACAGGTGTGAAGTCATTCATATGGCCGAATATTAGGCATTCATATTAGTTTAGAAAATAAGGAAAGCTGTCTGTCAGAAGTAGGTGCAAGAACACTTTTTTTTTTTTTACTGAGTGAGTTATTTCCTAGCTGTATATAGCTGGTACAGTTGAATTTGAAGTACTAGAGACTTGCTTGCACAAAAAACTTGGTGTAGCTTGTATATTGTTGTTCTAACTTAGAAGCTAGTATTGTATATTTGTATTGTAATACAGTTATATATTGCTAATTTTTGCTAAGAATCTGAAAAGAACTATATCTGTTTGTAGAGAATATATTTCATTGAATAAAAGTCCAGTAATTACTGACCAGTTCTTGAAAGGGCAATCTGTACAAGTGACTTTTGTTCCAGTTAGTAATTTTGCTTGTGCAAATATAGGTATTTCCAGTGTTAACTGATATAAGGTGTAATTTTCTTTTCCTGCCCCAGTCAGATATGATTTATATGAAACAAGAAATTAAGAAAGTTCCCCTTTCTAGGAATTCGTCTCCTGTCGGACCTGTCGGTCACCTCTCGGACATCAAGGGTCTCTCATGCCACGACAATCCGTTCTGTGGCAACACTAACTGATACTCTGAAGACAAAGACTGGCTTATCCATCCCCATTCTGCCTGATGCTGTCTTCACCAATGTACAGCGTGGTTCTGTCCTAGCCGCAACTTATTCCATTGTAAGTGCTGTAAAAAGTGTTCTTGTGTGTGAGGTTTGTAGTGTTATGTTCATTGAGTATTGTTATTGAGGTTGCCAGAGCTTATCTAAGCTTAACTGTAGTATTTTTTCAGAAATACTTTGTCTTGTGATTTTGCCGTTCACTGAGTATTTAGTAGTGATAAGATTTTTAAGTTTGATGTCTTAATGCCACTTAGAAATATCTCTTCCATGAGGATTATATTTTAAGATAGAAATATCATTTTGCCACCTAGGTATTCCTTCTCATTGAATACTTTTTGGGAAATTATTAAATTTTAGTAGTCAGATGTTATTTGTGTGTAATATCTTTTTTTTCTTTCATTCCCCAGATTCAAGGGCTATTTGCAATAGTTACAGGATGCTTTGATATCTATTCTTTGTCACTTGCCGCCCCAGGTTCCAGCCATTATGGATTCTACTTGTTTTCATACGATTTTGTATATTCTGGAAATCCACATGGTAGGTAGAACATTGTGGCAGTACAGTAACTGGTGTGACCTTTATAAGTGATTTTTTATAATGTTAAAATGTGTTTTGATATAGTAAAATGTGGGAATTTCACTTTCTTTATCTTTTGAATGTACTTCTGTATGGAATGTATTCTTATTTTACTAGTACAGAATTTAGAGTAAATTTCTAAAAGAAGGTATAACTAAATAACGTACAAAAGAAAGTTGTTCACTAATGTATATTTATTTGTTATTGGAATTAGAATTTAATACCATGGTAATTTTGAGGCTTTGTGTCTCTATTGATTTCCTTTTATGGTTATGGAGAAATTGATAGTAATTATTCGTTTTTGTCATTATCATTGTCACTAATAATATTATTACTGATTAATTGTTATCTCTTTCAGTCCGCAATTCCCTGATGCTGTTTGGAGGCATTACAGCCTTTGGAGGAGTCTGCCTTATCATTACCAGTGTTGTACTTCTGCAAGGCTTGAGAAAGGTTAACGACAGTATATAACATGGAAGGCTTGTTTTTAAAGTCTTCTGTGTTAGCTTTTATTCTTTTATGTCTAATGTTTATTACTAATAGTTATTTCTTATTATTATATATAATTTTTTTTTTTTTTAAATAGTGCCTGATTTCTGTTTTATGCAACTAATAGAAGGCTAACATCATTGAATGTTATTCCTTTCACATAGTTATGTATTGATTTTATATGGGAACCCATCTTTCAAACAAGAAAATATTTGACCTTTACAGGAGATAGAGTTCCGCATGGAGCCCTGGATATGGTGTATGGCCCTCTTCACTGCCTGGCGTATTCTGATCATCATTTACTCATCAATCGTCAATGACATGGTGTTTGCCTACCATGTAGTGATGTGCCTGCTCTGGCTTCTGTTCATTGCAGGCAACATATTTGCATGGTTGGTTGTTCACTCCTTCTACCACGAGCTGTGTGAGGTTACAAGGCTTGAAGATGTTGCAAGGGTGAAGGTAAGTTGCACCTTGGCAGTGATGAAATTTCCATCATTGGCTTTTTCCTTCTGTGCACATTTTTTTTCTTTCATTTTGTTTCTTTTTTTAAACACTGATGTAATGTGAGAGTGAAAGTAAATAAGAACACAAAGAAAAATAAGAAACCAACAAAGTCTATATTGCTCTACTTGATTAGGTTGTGATGTATATATAACCATTAATTTGGTATTTACTTTATTTACTTCCACTTTCTGAATAATCACCAAAGGAAGAAAGATATTGCACTTCATACTTTCTCTTTCCTGCATCCACCATCTACCAGTTGCATTATTTTTTATATTAGTCATTGTATAGATAAGCCAAGAAGAAAAATTGTTGCGGTTCAGGATATATATATCTCCATGTTTTTTAGTACTTCCAGTTGAAATTAGTTTCTCATTAATTTTACATTTTCAGAATATAGATTTCAAGAAATAAGATAGTTTCTTGGTTTTAAGCAGCCTTTTGTACCCCAAGAAACATATCACAATACATGTTTGAGATGCATAATTAGATTTCAATATGGATTAAAAATGGTAGAATTTTTTGAGATTAGAGGGTTAAGTTAAAGGAACCACATTTTTTCCTCCACTTGGCCTAATGTATAAAGCATGTTATTCTTGGAGTGAGTATCAGAGATATATGAGCAGTTCTTAAATAATACTGTGGCTTTTTAGAATTCTGATTTGTCAGGTCTGAACTTTGGTAAATCATGTTCTGTTATGTTATTAGTAATGCTGTTTAGATTATAATCTGTTTTTACTTTTTTTAAATTTAGAAATAGATCATCTGTTTATTTCAAGTTAAGTAGCTCTGTTGAAATACCTTATTTGTCTTTTTTATGTCCTTATTTGTCTGTCTTGATAGGAAGATCATTTTGAACTTTGGTAGTACTTGGATAGTGTATCGATAAAACTGTTCTTAGATGTATAGTTTCACATGGTTTGTAAACTATATGTTGCTTTACATCTGCCACTTAGCTTTTTATGTGTCTCTATCCTTTACTTTCTCACTGTCACTCACATCTCACCTCTTATCTCACTCCTTTTGCACCCTATTACAGATGGACACAATGAGCACGATGGGCTTCAGTTCCCGCCCCACCACTCCTGGCGCACGTTCCACCATTTCTACGCAGTTAGACTATAGAGCGTAGAGTTTAGAATTTAGTTTAGGTTAACCTAAAGGAGAAAATGTGAATTAATGTGTAAATGATTTAGAAAGCTGTTCTTTTAACTGAGATTGATTATGAAGAGGGAAAATGACTCCTGGAAACTTTTTATTTATTTATCAATTTAATGATTATTATTTTCTTTTTACATCTGTGAAGTACTCATTGTAGATCTGGATTTTGAATAGAGGCTTTGTGGATTGTAGCTGGTTATAATAGTTTAGCAAATCCAGTTATTATGCAATTTTTTATTACATATTCCAGGATGTCTTTGCAATAGTTGAAGTAAAATAAAAGAAGTATCTATAGGTAAATAGTAGTATTCATGTAATTTTCATTAATCAGTATTGTATCTGGTTAAGTGATACTATAATTTACACCTCAGCATGTATTTATTTATTTATTTTTTTTTTTCCCTCTTGCTGGGTCAAAAGTAAGTCCTTTTTATCAAACATGGTCAGTATGATTTTGTCACCATTATCATTATAAACCATGATATTTTTTTTTTTTTTTTACTTTTTAAAATCCGAATTTATTTTTCATCCTGTGTAAATCAACAAAAGTTATAATCTCTGTGAACTTTCAGATGGAGACAATGAGCTCATTTACTGCATCACGACCCACCACACCAGGGGCAAGGTCTGAAGTGTCATCCAAGATGATTGCATAAGTTATTCCATGATACATGAGCAGTTGAGGTTTTTGTGCTTCATAATTGTTTCAGATTTACATTGGATCTGAGGCATTTGCTGATTATGATTTCTATAGAATGCAAAGGGATGATGATATTAGGTCTTGTGGGATTGTTATAGACTTTTTTTTTTTTTTTTTTTTTTGCATATATTAATTGATTTAGATTTGATTCAATGTAAATGCTTCTTCTATAGTACCAGTTATTTTACTTAGTTGTTCAATTGAATTTGTATTTTTAAAGTAACTGACTGTGTATGGGCCTGAAAAAAAATAGTTGACATTGATTTAGAAGTGAATTATGAAGCCAATTAATTTTTGTTCAGTTACAATACATGTCTTTTTAATTACTAAAGTAATTATTATTTTTACACACACACCTTTTTTGTATATGCCAAAATAAACATAACAGCAAATGAGCCAAACCCAATATAAAAATAGGCAGTTGCATTCATAACTTTCTTAAAGTTTACCAAAGATAAGACTTCAATGTTATTGTTATTGGGAATCTCATACTTGTATAAAGAGGAATTTCAAGTATATGTAAGGTGAGGGCCTACCTCTGTTTCCCCTTGCTGTGTATATCAGCTGCCAGATTAGTGTTAAAGCTATTTACACACTTTTATTATTGTATGTATCACTGTAGCTAATATGAAGTCTAACAACTTTGAATGTCCATGCTTACATTTGTCAAGATACTAACTTGAGTTTTTTCTTTACTTTGTTGGTAGTACAGGTACTTAAATTCTTTAGGTATACCACTGTGAGATGTTGGAAAAGCTTGGTTTCTGAAAATTTCTTATTTATGATGTGTTTGTTCTGCATTTACACATATCAGTATAAGAGTCTTATGTAGGTTTCAGATAAATATTATGGAAGAAGCCTCAGTTGCAATTTACCAGAAAACTGGTAGTCTGGAGAATAAAGTAGATTGTCCTAAATGAGTGCAAAAGAGCAGTGCATGCACTGTACATAGCTCAGTGCCCTGCTTCACCCACAAAAGACAGGCAGCATGAAGGCTGTAATGGATGACCCAATCCCAGGTTTTTATACAGTTAGTAACTTCAGCAACAGTAGTGGCTTTCTTGTGGCCTGAGGTGGGTGTGAATGTAGACCGTCCCATTTGAAGGTCCTGGTATTACCACTGAGCTGGCAATTATTTTGTTTAGAGTATTTTATTTAGTACTCTTCTTTGTTATGGTTAAATAGTTTGTACCGTAAATGTTTATGATCAGTGACCTGTAGGATTATTTTTAATATTAGTGAAAAGCACAAAGGAAAGGTATATTTTTGGTAGTAAAGGATCAATGCTATTTTTCATATATTTGCTAACATACCTTTTATACATAGAAATATGAGCACTCCATATTAACTGCAAAAGTAAGTTTGCCTCTCATATTAAATTGCTGTAAGTTCCAGTATAGAGCAATTCCACCTCATTATGAATTTTAGTGTTCATTCCCTATAAAGCAGAAAATAGTCAAGATACATTAAAAGTAGGTAACTCTGCAGTTAAATTAACTATGCGGACTATATCTTTTATTTTTGAATGTGGTTGTGAATATTTTTGCATAAAAAGGTTGAACTGAAAATTACTGGGAACTATTACAGAATTTATTTATTTGAGAGAAATATATAGATATGGTCAAGCATTTGTTATATTTGTAAGAGAAAGTTCATTTAGAATCTGTACCTCTTGAGAACTGATCCGTCCAATTGATCATTGACATAAACAAAACACTGAAATATAGATATGGTCAAGCATTTGTTATATTTGTAAGAGAAAATACCTTTAGAATCTGTACCTTTTGAGAACTGATCCGTCCAACTGATCAGTGGAATGAACAAAACACTGAAATATATATTTTTGTATATATGTGTAATAAATATTTGGAAAGTTATTAATATTAATATTATTTTTTACAATTCCTTACATGTTGTTGTCCTAGGGGGCCTAGGAAATGGGGACTGGGACCCAATGCTGGGGATTTTCCCTACCTTGGGCCTCAGCCCTTGACTCATTTTACATGGTCTTTTCTCCCTCTCTACAAATATCATAAATACTCTATTTAGCCCAGCCAAATTTTTCGTGATCCCCCCTACAGCTCCTTACTTAGGCAACACTTTTTCAACAATGTCTCCAAAAGCAAGTGGGCTTAGCCCTTTCTGTACCCGACCCCATGATTCCCACCTCGTTACAGATACATCTGAAACCCAAGCTATAGCATTATCAAATCTGTTTTCTTTGGCAACCCCATTCCTGCAAAACCTCATCCAACCCTTAATACTTGCACTGAAATTGTATCTCCCCAGCAAACTGCCCTATGGATATCGATTGGTCAGATTGTGAAGAAGACTTACTTGCCTGCCTCAAAGACCATGATGTGATATCAGTACAGTGCTACTCCATTCCTCCAAGAGGTCATTGACAGAACCCCACCAGCACTGCCAAAATTACTTTCCGTAGATATGACCTTCCCTTTAATATCTAAATTGGTGGGCAATCCCTCCCTGTTCGACCATACCAACCTCCTCTCTGTCAATGTCAAAATGTTGGCATTTTGGGCATCCTGCCAAACAGGCTGTTCCAGAGCCCAATGCCCCCATGTGCCCAACCTGGTCATAACCGATCAAACTGCTCTGCATAATCACGCACATGTGTTAACTGCGGTGGCCCGTATAATGTATTTTATAGAGGCTGCTCCAATAACAAGTTTGAGTGAGGTGGCAACTCTCAGATACAAACTTGGTCTCACTCTGGGTGAAGCCAGATAGGAAGCACGTCGACGAGGTTTCTCTCATACTCCCTACTTCAGTAATGTCGCTCAATCTGCCCCCTCCCCCTCCTTCTCAAGATGTTCCTACAAATTCAAATTCTTTTGCCACTCTAAATCCAGACATTCCAATCTAAACTACAGCCCCAACACCTTCCCCTCTCCCTTCCCCCACTAACCGCAGCAGACTAAACGTTCTCCTACTACCCAGTCATCTCCAACTACCTTTGCCTCTACTCCTCAGACACCAGTCTCCTCCTTCCCCCCTCATAAGAACACCTTTGTCTCATAAAACTCTTCAACTACCTCCACTACAGAAACTATGGAAGATATCTGCTAGAGACACTAAACGCAGCAAAAACTCTCATCCACTCTCAAATTCCACAACTCCTGCTCCCTCCACACTCAAAGTGACTGCCGACATCCATCTTCCTCCTACTTATATTCCCCCTACACCCTCCCAACACAACCCATCCCCCTCAGCTCCAACTACACACCTACAATAACCCTCCCTCCATCCCCACTATCCCTTCCACTCCCTCCTGGATACACACAATTATGTCAAAACTATGCCCTTCCCCAGATCCTTCAGATAGTACACCCCCTCCCTCTAATTCCTCATCTCACCCCCCAGCTCCTTCCCTTCAAATACTCCAACACGCACTGTAACCATTAGCACTCATAGAACAATAAGTTGTAGTTTTCCTACATTGGAATATTCGTGGTTTCTGTTCTCACAGACCTGACCTTCGTCATATCCTTTCTTATAATCCATCAATTATCTGTCTCCAAGAGACTTTTCTTACGCATCCTCGTATTCCAATTCCCAACTACCATTTTGACTCTTCCTCACACTCCCTGTACGTCTTCTCTATACTTGTCCATCAAAAAACACCTTGTGTCATACCTCCCTTTCAAACCACTGTCCCATGCACAGTTATTAGCATCTTTTTTGGGCGTTGGATCACAGTTATTTCAGTCTACTTCTCCCCTTCCTACCCTATTGACTTTGTTGCCTTTGAAACTAATTTCCCAATTCCAACTACCTTTCCTCATAGTTGGTGATTTTAACTACCGCCACTCTGTGGGGTGATTCTATCACCACCTCCCAAAGCCGATCTCTAGAACGCTTCCTCTCCATAAATAACCTAATTATTCTTAATTCAGATCGCCCCACACACTTTGACATGCGCTCGCAAACCTTTTCATACCTTGAACTCACTCTATGCTCCCCTTCTCTCCATTTAGGTTTCCAGTGGTCAGTTCTAGAACATTTCCCAGTACTCCTTTCCCCTACTTCATAGGTACCACTTCCTAATCCTCCACAATGGTGCTTTGATAGAGCTGACTGGCATACTTTCACTTCACTCTCTACTATCCCTATCCCTTCATCCCCCTTCACACCCATTTCAGAGATGCTACAATTTCACAAACACGGTCCTAAGGGCTTCCTATACAGCCATTCCTCAAATCTCAAGACCTTATACCTCCAAGTATGTTCCATGGTGGAATTCTAATTGTACCAAAGCGATTCGCTTAAAACGAACAGCCTGGAACAGTTATTGCTACAAAGGAGGTACCCCCAATCAGCTATCAGCCCTTATCTCCTTTAAGAGGATCTGCCTGTCTTCATTGTACAATCCGAAACAGTAACACAAATAGCTGGCGAAATTGTTTCCTCAATTGCATCTACATCCATTTCAGCTGTTTGGCGTCGGATCCATTAATTATCAGGCAAACATCCAGCCTCCGTCCTCCATATTCGAGATACTCTCATCTCTGATCCTATCCAAGCCACTAATGAACTGGGCGACTATTTCAGCTAGGTCAGTAGTGGCTCTCACCTTTCCCTATACTTCTCTTCCATAAAGACCGTCAGGGAACGCACCCCCAATCACATCCTCTGATGAGTCCTATAATGTTCCTTTTACTTCCTCTGAACTCAATACTGCCTTACAGTCGTGCAGCAACACTTATGAAGGCCCTGGCGGTATTCACTATCGTATGCTCCGACACCCATCATCTTGCTCCCTAACCTTTCTTTTAACTATTTTGAACCTCCCTCAAGATAACCACCACATCGTTCTAACTAGCTGCTTGTGTAAACTCCTAGAACGAATGGATAACTTCCGCCTAATGAGGTATCTTGAATCTCACAATCTCCCCTCATTCCCAGTTTGGTTTCCGCCGTGCCCGAAGTACAGCAGATCCTCTTGCTCATTTCGAAACATATTACATATGCATTTGCACGCCATGAATCTGTATTAGCCATATTCTTTGACCTAGAAAAAAACATATGGCATCACATGGCGGTACCACATTCTCCAACAATTGTCCTCCCTAGGTATACGTGGAAACATGGGTGTCTTCATAAAGTCGTTCCTCTCTAACACTTCCAGGTCAAATTGTCTCTCTACTTTCATTCCTTCTTGCTCATCTAGATACAATCCACCACTGTGGTCTCCACTTAGCCTTAGGTGCCTTCCGCTCCCCTCCAGCTGAGAGCCTGTATACTGAGTCTGGCATGCCATCTCTCTCTTGACGCCGTGCCCTTCCCTCTCTCCGATGCTATGCTCGATTCCACCAACTTCTTTTACCAAACTATCCCACAATCCCTGCTTCTTACCTTTGCTTCTTCTCCATGTTTCTCCGTAACTCTCCCGTTTTCTGTCCATTCCGTTCCTCCGTGGCTTATACCTTACCCCCGTATTTGTTCCTGTTTCCCCTGACCCACCAAAATCAGATATCCCCCTCTGTCCTTCTCACCCATTTCCTTAACAATGTCTCCATTCATTCCTCCAGCATTCATGTTTACAATGATGGTTCCAAATCGCACTTTCAAATACACCTTCCCTCCTGAATCTAGTGTCCTTACTACAGAAGTGTATGAATTCCCTTTTGCCTTAAAAAGGATATACTCACTCCCTTCCTCTTTCACTATTTTTACTGACTCTCGTAACTCATTAACCCTCATAAAGTCTATGCACTCAACCAATGTCCTTGTCTTTAACATCCAGAACTGGTTGTTCTACCTGTCCACACTCCATAAATAAATCAGATTTTGATGAGTGTCCAGCCAGGTTGGCAATGAACTGCAATAAACAGGGCAATGAACAAGCAGATATTTAGCACGCTATACCGCTATGTCCACATCACACCAACCACTCTTCTCATATTCCAGCCATGGATGATTATCCCTACTTTAACACCTTTCTGTATACCCGATGACATTTTTTCTGATCAAGTCTCCGCACTAATAAATTACATACTGTAAAACTATCAATCTCCTCTTGGTTAGCTCCATTTCACTGGGACAGACGTTGGGAGACGGCTCTCAGTAAAGGTGGGTACACCTATTAATGATCAGGCCGGGGCTATGGTCAAAATCTCCTGAAAGTAGCCATAGCCATCTCCAGCCGACTTCAACCTTCGGTAATAGAGGTTGGCGAGTGTATTATGGAACTGAGACCGAAGCATGCTTTTGGCTTTGAGTCTCTCATTGCTGTGTAAGCTCCTACCGATAATTGTAAACTCAATGAGAAAGAGGCATTCTATGCCAAACTTATGTCTGTAGCAAATATATGCTCCCGGTGAAGTTTTTGTATTGTACTGGGCAACTTCAGTGCGGTATCCAGCTCTGATCGAGCTGGCTACGAGATGCTTTAGAGTCCTTATGGCTTGGGAGCTGATCTCTATAGTTATAATAGGCTACTTCTCTGGGAGTTTGCTAGATCCCAGAGATTGAGGATTTATGGCTCCTGGTATCAGCGCTCAAACCTGCATTGCTAGACTAGGTATAGTGTGATATGGGCGCTGTGGCCAAGGATATCAACCACATTCTTATTAGCACTCGCTGGTTATAGCAACCCTATGGGTCCACTTCAAATCCCTGTCTCTTCAGTGGGCACTCAAGGGTGCTTCACCTGGACAGATTGAGTTAAGAGTATCAACAGGAGTAACTCTACAACAATATCTGATTGGCTAACTGCTTGAAAACCTAACGGACACTGTAGCTCTTGGGAATTCCTTTAAGAGTGAAACACTTGATGCTGCGCAAGTCCAATGGTGAACGTCTATGGACATTGCAGAAACAATGGAGGCCAACAGATTTATGTTGCACAGCCTCCAGTG